GAGCGACTGCCCTCCCCTTGTCGAAAAGCTCCTAGAATCCCAGGACCCCCGCCCGCGGGCACACCTGGGAATCCCAGGAACGGGAATCGCACCAGAACTCTGATAGCCCTCCACCTCGTGGGCGTAGGCCTCACGTTGGACGGCGCCTCGCTCCCTGATATCCTCCACCACCGCAGGGGGAAGACCCAGATCTACGAGGCCCGCCTCTCAACCTCCAAACCCAGAGCCTGCGGCCGATTATCGGACGTGAAAACCAGGGCCCTGCCCCCGTGGACTAGAGACCCCCGGCTTCGTCCGGGAGGGCCCAGGGCCCATCACCGCCCATGCCCCTCAGGAAGGGGAACCACCGGGCAATGCGCTGTCCGGAGCCACCAAATCGACCGATCTCCCTCTCCTGTTCATCCTCCGCAGCAGACCGGCAGGAGACGCACCGGGGGGAAAGCGTACACAGGCCGCCTGGCGGGGGGGGGGGGGGGGGGGGGGGGGGGGGGGGGGGGGGGCAACCTGGGGTTAGGAGCACAGACGTCAACGCAGTAAAGCGGCTCGTCCGCGGCCCTTAGGCGAACCAGACGGGCACTGGGCGTTCTCTGCTCTGGCGAAAAGGTCGACTACTGGACGGCCGAACCTCCGCCAGATCTCCGCACTACCCGTGGGGCCAGGCCCCCACTCGTCCCGGAGTGGCCCCCCCTGGACATTCTGTCGGCTCCCACGTTTCCGGACCACCCGGGACGTGGCGCGCCCTGAGAGACAGGAGGGGAAGCGCCGCCAAACAGCAGCGTCCACCGTCGCCATGCGATGGAGAGCGGGGACCTGGTGCCCCCCTGCCTTTCAATAGGAGACCACTGTGGTTGTGTCTGAGCGCACCAATCACCTGTCTCCCCTGCAAGCTGAGGGGCCAAAGTGCAGCGGTACTCTGGCACTGCCTCCATCTCCAGCAGGTTGATGTGACGGGCTATAAAAAGAGTCCGACCAGCAGTCCCCCCCCCCCCCCCCCCCCGCCCACCCCCCCCCCCTCCTACAGAGCTCTGGCCGAGGACCCCGCCCCATCCTTCGAGCGACTGCGTCCGTGAACACCTCGACGTGAGACACAGCGCAGGCCAAGAGTCAATCCGTCCCGCAATAGACCCGGATGAGTCCAGAACCTGATGTCCGATGCGGCCCCTTGGGGAACCCAGATCACCTCCCCCCGTCCCCGAGGGTGAAGCCTGAAGGCGCGAGAACCACCTCTGAAAATTTCTCATGTGGAGCAGGCCTAGCCGCACCACAGCATGACGCTGCCATCATTCCCAGCAGGGACCTGAGGCGCCGAGCGGGACTCTGGGGCCCGCCTGAACCTCCCGGGCCAGACGGGTTACACTCATCCGTCTTCCACGGACAATGCAGCACGAATATCACAGAGACCTAGCTGCAGACCGAGGTAAACCATGCGTTGGCTGGCTGCAGCTTGCTCTTCTCCCTTTCAGCCACAAGCCCAGACGCGGATTGGGTACAGGACCCCGCCGTGTGGCTCACGGCCACTTCCCTGGATGGGGGCCAGTATTACCAATCGTCTATATAGGTTAAGATCTTACCCCCGCACGTCTGGAATCGGCTCCAGAGCTGCTTCCACACATTTGGAAAAAGGTGCGAGGCGCGAGTGCGTACCCGAAGGGGAGACGGCTGTACTCGTAATTCCTCTCTCCCACTTAGCGAAGCGCAGAAACCTCCTGTGTTTCCTGGCACTATGGGCACGTGAAGTATGCGTGCTGTCAGGTCTATGGAAGTCATCCAGTCTCCTTCCCTGACACATCTCGAGGAGCTGCCTTGTGGACAGCACCGAAACTGCCGTTTGAAATTGCACTCGTTTAAACACGCGTAGATCCAGACTGGGACGCACCCCGCCTGATTTCTTTGGCACTACGGAATAAGGGGAGTACAGCCCCCTGTGGCGTCTGCGGTCTACCTCCCACTGTCTGCGCCTCGACTCAGCAGAGAGGAGACCTCCCGCTTGCTAGTGCCTCTGTCGACTCCCCGTACCTGAGAGCGTACTGCCCGTACCCTCGGTATGGTGGTGGCTTTTGCGGAAAATGCAGCGCGTGAACCTCTGCGAGAGTTTTCTCCAGCCAAATATCTGTCAGTAGGACCTAGCTCATCCAGATGCTGTAGAAATCTGTGAGGGCGGAACGGGAGTTGGAACACGAGACGTCACGGCCCCGCCCCCTCCCTGGTGTTCCTAGCAGGAGGGGGGGTGGGCCTGAAAGGGCCGGGGGGGCCCCTGCGTCACACCGGTCGCCTGGAGGGCGTCACGTGTTCTCAGGCCGACGTCCATAAGTACGGACTGTTTCACCACACGTGACTCGGCTGCTGTGCCCCCCCTGGCATCTAGCCCCCTTCAATGGATGGGGGGGCCGAGCCCCTGGAATGGGAATCCCCCGTGTTTAGCCTTGTAGCTCTGCTCAGCACACGTGACCACGGCTGCTGTGCCCGCCCCTGGCTCCTTGCCTCATGGAGGGGGGAGAGCCCCTGGATTGGGAAACCCCGTGTTAGCCATTGTAGCTCAGAATGCTAACACGCGTTCGGCTGGAAGCACCACATTATCACTACCAGATCCCCCGCCTGCCCTCTCTCCGGAGGGCAAAACATGAACCCGTGAATCGAGCCCGTGGCCCGCGTAGCGCGCTGCACGCCCTTCTCTGGGGGCTGCAGGCCTAGCGGAGCACGTTATAAGCGCGAGAAGTAAACAATCAGAATCATATCATTTGACATTTACATACCCCCAAATGAGACTCAGACAGCGAGATCAGATGAAAGCCGACGGCCTTTAATTGAAAACATTTTACCTCCCTGTGCCTGTCTGGGCCCGGGGGTCTCGTCCTGGGGAACATGGACCACGAGCGTGGGAATGGTCCGGGGCGCCTGCCAGGGCGAGCGCTCCCTGCCCTCTGTCTCGCTCCGCGCTGGTGGGCGGCCTCGCGTCTCGCAGCTAGCTGCTTGGCTAGTCCTAGCAGAGCCTTAGCTTGCGGTGGTCCACCCGTCATCACGTCTGCACTCGGACCGAAGAAGTGACCGTTTGGGAGATGGGCCATGTCCAGCAGCTGCTCTTCTCCCCTCTCTGAGATTCACCCGCCCCAGCCAGAGGTGTCTGGCCCCAACTTGTGCTGCTGCCATCGGGCGGCCGCCAACGACAGCTTGCCGCTTGGCACATGCCGCAAGATCCCTCGCCTGGGATAAGGTGTCTCCACTGAGTGCCTGGTCAGAGGAGAGAGATCCTATCAGGGCCCCGTGTTGAAGGCCATGTTTGTTAGCCACCGCGCACCTGGACCGCCATTGGCGTAACATCTGTCGTGCATCGCCAAAGACATCCTATCCCGCTCGGAGGGAGGATAGGTCTGTGCTGGGCCAAACGGATGTGGAGGGTGCAGAGGCCGCCCGAACCGAGTCCTCGATGGCCGGGACCCCGCTCGGTCCCAGGACCATTCCTGCCACGTTACAGTACATGCCATACCCCCAAAGCGGGCCTCTTGGCCGCTAGGGGCTTTGGCCACCTCACGTGGCGCGTAATGGACGATCGGGCCATACGCGGCACAACGGGGGGCAGGGCTCTCCTCCTCCTCGCGGGGTGGCGCACAGAGGTGAATTCCTCCACGCTCTGGTTCGGTTTGCGGTGGCAGGGGGGCAGCCATGATGGCCGCCGCCGTGGCGTAGAGCCAGGCCATGTGGTCCAGCGGGAAGCGGTCCGGCTCCCGGGTTGGACACCACCTCGTCCAGCTGAGAAGAGCCCGACCTCCGACACCTCCCGTCCTCAGCAGTGTCACCCCACTCCGCGGCACGGGGGAAGGTCGTGGGGGGCCCATCCAATCGCAGACTCCTCGTCCTGAGAGGGGGTTTCGCGGACGGGGCGCTGCAGAAGCGGCGAAGAAACGCTCTCCTGCGTTCACTCTCCTCCCTGGGGAGAGCGACACACGAGGCGCAGATAGCGCTCAACGCCGCATGGCCCGAACCCAGGCACAGGAAGCAGCTGAGTGCTGGTCCTTGCGCTTGGAGCTTGACCCGACAAGCTGAGCAACGACGACGCCGACGCCGGATGCGAAGGGGAACTCGGACGATCATAGAAGACATCTTCCTCAGGTAATTGAATGTAGATTTCAATCGGCGCCTAGTGAAAGAGGGGGGCGGCCTTGTGCAGGGCATTTATAGAGGAAGGTGGCTGTGATTGAGCAAATTAAATTTTGATCTCGCTGGCGTGTGACCTGGGGTCACGTGATATCCCACTACGAAGTCCTAAGGACGAAGCACCATGACGTAGAATTAGCGCAGATTTTGCTGGGCGTGGACATTAATATTTTAATCGAGTTTGATGAAACAAGGAAGAGAATTGTTTTCGGGTCGCAGATTGTGACCAAATCACACCACTGGCCCCCCACTTTCGGGATAAATCTACAGGTACCGTTAGCATAGACGCTAGAGTAGCACAACAAGCCGAGGAGCTAACGGAAAGCGTCGTGTCTGCATCACCGTTTACTGCTTACAAGCGAGACAGCCATCCAAAAGAAAGTCCCATTCCTCCGCGCTTCCCGGGTTAATCGTTTTATGGTCACGCCATCCACGTGGCAAATCCAAATTCAAGTATTATCCCATATCGGGAGACATTAGCTCGTCCCATCAGTGAGTGTGTGTGGGGGGCGATAGCTTCGTGGGTTGGTGAGGGGAGCATTGTAAGAGAGAGGTTGTAAGTATTGTAAACATAAAAATATATTGTAAACGAAAAAAAACTGTAGTAAACGTAAAACTTACACTTACATTTCACATTTTTCATGTTTCGCTTCAAAAGTTACGTTTACGATTCACGAGTTACGTTTACAATTCACAAGCTACGTTTACGATTCAAAAGTTACGCTTACGGTTCAAATTTAATCTGACCCCTTTTTGGAGGGGCGGGGCTCAGCGCGCTCATTGGCTGGAGGGCCCGGATGTTACGTCACCACAAAACCAAAACACACGCACGTTACTACAGAAGATCCATGCTGAAGACGGAGAAAACTTTGAACCGCGAAATGGAAGAAAGAACATCTAGGGAGGTATAATACAGTATGTATGTATGTGTTATATTATGTTATATTTTGATTTAATTTGGCTAATAACATTTATATGCGCAGATCTTTATCATAAAGCATACATTTATGGTTCTGCTGATGCATCGCTAGCATCATATTTCAATTTTTCTTTAAGGAAACCTTGGGAAACCTTGTCATGACAAGACTACTGGACCGCATTCAACAGGCATCTCGCCACCCTCTGGATCTTCAGTTTTTGCATTTTATTTGCAACCATGAACTGACTTTTATTCAGTCACTTTCAGACCAAACTTCTATTCCTCAGGATGTCATAGCTGCCCTTTCGACCCTTTGTGGAGTACTGACTACACAACTCAGTGATAGGACTGTTCAGCCCATTGGGACTGAGATAACAACTGGTGAAATGGGACATTACAAATACAGACTAGATAAAGATATTTTACAGCATTTTGTGACAATGGGACACTCCGTTACAACAATATCTGGACTTATGGGTGTCTCAGTATCTACTGTAAAGCGCGCTCTAAAAGAGTATACAATCAGCATTAGACAAACGTACAGTACTATACAAGACAATGAACTAGATGAACTTGTCAGAACCATCAAAGTAACTATGCCCAATATGGGATCTCGGATGCTGAAGGGTAAGCTACAGGCACTGGGTCATCGCCTCCCTTGGACTCGAGTATGGGCATCCCTGAGACGGGTAGATCGTGTTGGAGTCCTGTGCAGAGCCACACATGTTGGTTATGTCGTCCGGAGGTCCTACAGTGTCCAGGGACCTCTGTCCCTTGTTCATGTGGACACAAATCATAAACTCATCAGGTCAGTCACACACAATAGTTATAAGGTAGCTCCCAAACAGTATTCCTAGGATTCTTTGTAGCAGTACAGTTCATTGTATTTCAAGTCATGGGTGCGCCACCGCTTAGTAGATGGTGTAGACCTGGCCAATGTTGTAGTTCTTGTTTAGTATGATTTTATTCATAAATAGAACTGTTTTTACATAATGACATTTTATTCTATTTATGTTATGAGACTAAGGATTTAATCCTTTTATAGGATTAAAGGATTTAATCCTTAGTCTCAAACTTTTCATTTAAGAGATTTGTCATGTTTCCTTTACGCAGATATGGCTTTGTCATATTTGGTGGCATAGATGGATACTCACGAAAGGTACATTTTAAAATTTAACTCAGCAGTAGTTCTTCTATTAATAAAGTTTTTGTTTTAAATACAGATTATGTACTTGGAGGCTGCAACGGACAATAAATCCACTACAGCATTAGGATTCTTCCTGGGATCTGTGGCAGAGAATGGTCTTCCTTCCAGGTAACTGAATTTCATAATGTCACATACACCCATGTTGTTTAAGCAATGTATTTTCCTTCAATTTTCTCTGCTCATATTTACCAAGGTTATGTTATAGAATGATAACATGCCCTGCTCAAAAGTCATCTTGACTTTTTTTCTGTTCTTATAGGGTTCGTGGAGACCAAGGCGTTGAAAACTTGCAAATAGCAAGATTTATGTTTTCCATTCGTGGTTGTGGTAGAGGAAGTTTCATGTCTGGCAAGAGTGTTCACAATCAGCGGTTTGTATTAACCCAATCATTTAGAACATGCTGAGTATAAATAGATTATTATTAGCTATATTATATGTGGGTAATCTATTCTTGTTAGTATGTAGTTTACTTAGTTATAACACATTGCATCTGATTGGGACATTTAATTTGTGTCTTTTCAATGTTCCTTGTCAGATTGATTTATCATTTCTTATGTTCACAGTATTGAGAGACTGTGGCGTGATATGTGGATGTCAGTGACAAGTACATACTACGAACTTCTCCATAGTTTAGAGGAAGAGGGCTCTCTGGATCCAACCAACAGTCTTCAGCTTTTTTCCGCTCAATACGTATTCTTGCCAAGGCTAACATCAGACCTCCACAGCTTCATCAATAGCTGGAACAACCACCCCCTTCGCACTGAACAAAATCTCACACCAAACCAACTTTGGGAGATTGGCAAAGCACTGAATCCAGTCCCGTCTGCACAGGTGTTAGGGCACTTACGTTTTGCTATTTATAATATGTCAATGCGTTGTCTAACCCAAAGATGGTAATCTTTTGTTTTTTTTACAGCACACACTTTACCAAAACCCTCCAAGTCAAGACGAAGACCTGGAAGCCTCTGGAATTGTAGTCCCACAAATTGCATGTCCCATGCCACAGCAAAGTCTGGAACTATTAAGGGCTAGGTTCAACCCACTTGCACCTTCATGTGATTTCGGACGAGCTATATACATTTCGGTTTTAAATTATGTTCTGCTTCACAGTGCCACGCAAGTGTAAAATATTTCAATGGAAAAGTAAAAATATGCAATAAGAGATGTTTGTTTGCAGTTCATTTGACACTTGACATTTATTCAATTTTACTGCAGATAACCAAAACCAGTTTCACATGAACGGCGACATCTCTAAATTAGTTTCAAGTAACGGAATATTTATTTATGAAACAAACATTCAATACGAAATGTGTGCCTTGAAAAAGTCATTTCACTAGACAATGTGAAATCCTCCACTGCATGTAACTGCAGTAGTGAAGTTTGATTTAAATTCTTCATAAGTGTTGAAGTGAGCAGTTGGAAACGTAATGGTCTGTGAGCATGCATTTACAACTGGGAAACACAGAGTATGTTCTGGCATTTGTTCACGGCAGTTGTGATTGAAATGGACATAAATTTTGAAGCGACGTCTGTCTGAGAGCAGGAGGTGACGATGTGACTGTCCAGTAAGCCACTGCATTATTTTGGCAACAGTTGGCTGATCTTCATTGCACAATGGCTCATCTTAATAAAAGAGGCATATTATTACACAAACATTATACACAAACATTACATACAAATATACCCTCAATCTCATTCAGAAAGTCCTGAAGGCAATTCAAGATGTGGATTTCTTTGCTGTGCTTCAAGGTACCCTCTTCACTCATTTGTGGGTCAAGGTTAGAAATGATGTAATGTGCATCCACCTAGTAAAAAGATTGTAACAATGGCAGTACAGTAGGATCCAAAAAAGTATAATAGAATATACCTTATCATCATTATCAAAGACAAAAAGGCCACGGCAGTGCTCTGTTTTTTGCTGCAGGACTGACATGAAATTGTACAAATTGAGTCCCTCTCTCAAGTCATTAAGCATTGGGGTGCGTTGCATGGTTGCATGCATCAGAATGGCTCTGAAAACAAGACATTTTTACATTTCGATAAAAAAAAAAAACCCCATCAAATTCAACATACCTGATTATTTCCTCCTTCTTATCTACAGTGATGCATCCTGTGTAGCCACAGTTGATAATTTCATCAGCAATGGCCAAAACATCATCGGTTTCTTCAATTTGTTTTATCAGACTGCTTAGCTGTGGCTCATGCACGTCATATTTTGTTACGTTTGGTAATGTACCAGTTGCCAAGAAACTGAAGCACCACTCTTGCAAAAACTTTGGTGCTGGTCCCCCCTGGGCCAGACTTGCAGCAAACACTTGCCCTGCAACTCTGGAAGAAAAGAAAATCAGTACTCAACTTAATTTACAAAAACAATTCGCAGTTACTACTGCATTTAAAAAAAAATTCACAAACCTAAAAAGACCATTGTGCAGGTCACTCATTGAATATTTTGGAATTTTTCCTTTCTTGTTCTCTCCTACAAATAGGCGCTCTTCCAAACCAGCAACCATTTCTAAAACAAAAGACATTAACATAAGTATGTATATAGAGAAAAAATAATAACAATAACGTTCTTATTGACCTGTGAGGAACTCAAGCCTTAAAGCGCCAGTGTCAACTCCTGCCTCCCCAAGAAAGCTGACTTTCAGAGGGTTTAATGGCGAAGCTTTCTTCTGGCGTTGCCATTGCATTATGCCTCGTTCCAACAAGTTTTCTCGTGAAATACACAGGTGGAACTCCTTACTACGGTCCAGCTGAGTAACCAGCCAACGCAGGACATCCTCTTCACTATTAGAAACAATGCAAATGAACTGGTCTCCAGCACAATATCCACTTAAATGTGATATTAAGCACAAATTACCAGGATATTTTATCCACCTCCAACAAGTCTGCCGAGGGGATGGGGACACTGTTTTCAAAACTGTCAAAGCAAGTAACATGTTATTATATGCAACTTGAGAGTTGCAATATATTAAATGTTACAAAACATCTCACCCAGTGTCACCACAGGTGCTTGCATGGTTCAGAAGTTCTGATTCTGAAAACATCTTGTGACAAATTGGACATGCTAGCCACCTTGAAAATCAAAAATAAAACAAGGAATGTAATACAAAGGTCTGTGTTTTGGAAGTCGAGTCTTTGCTCTCAGTTGTAGTAGTACATCATTTATTGGAGGAGGCCCAGGGGAAGACCCAGAACACGCTGGTCTTAGTCCTTGCTCAGACTGCTGCCCCCACGACCCGACACAGGATAAAGTGGAAGAAGACAAAGTCTTCATGTCACAGGGAATAACTTTAGCCCAAGTCCCGATTAAATAGCTATCAACAGTCCAAGTTAAGTCATATCACAATTGCACAAAGGGTAGTAGTAGTTAGTAGTAGTCAAATAAAATGAATCTGAGTACATTGAGTGGTTGGAATGAAGTTTCAGCTTCAGATGAATAGTTTTCCATATCATCTTCTTTCCCATCAGACAACTAGAAAAATACAATAAATATTTGAGTTCTGCTAATACTAGAAGATAAAACGTATGATCAATCAATATCAAATATCAGACTAATAATCATATGAAATATACAGAGTTTACCGTCTCAGATTCTGAAACATGCATCAAGTCTTCTGTGCAACTTTCCACATGATTCGTCAATAGTTGTAGTGGCATTTCTTGCATGCATGACTTGCATGTAGCTTTCGGCATCAATTTGTACTCTTCTGCATCTGAGGGTAATGGCTTCATGTCCAGCTCCTCTTGCAGAGGGACAACAAAAAGAGCTGTTTTGCCATTAAAGGTGGTAGATTTAAGTTGAGCTCCTGTGTAACCCTCATGGCTTGGAGGGACAACCGTCAGACTTCTTCTTCCATGACCACCTAAAATAGGACGTAAAAATCTCTGGCAAAGATACAGCAAAACCGCATAATGTAATAATGATACCTAGTGCTTTTTTGACGACCCATCCCCCAGACACATTCTTGAATTTGCTGAATGTTTCCCCCAGCACAATGGACACCTAATGTACATTACCTTTATTGTACATGCAACCATTGAAAGTTTGTTATAAAGAAATGGCTCTTACTTGATTATGGTCCATAGACTCTATAATGTCCACTTGACGCTTACCAAGTCCAGCCAGTGCCAATTGCATTTCACCTGATGGACTTGGTGTGAATTGTGCATTTTTCTGCAGCAGGTAGACAGAAAAATGCTTTGGTTGCTTTGGCACATTTTTGGAGCACTGGAAGCGTCTTTTTCCTAGACAACTTTTCTTCTGGAAAAATCCAGGAAAAGATCTAAACAAAAAAAAAAACACATGAAGTTAAAAAAGGTAGTCTAGGATCTCTTTATACTTGTATTTTGGAAAATATATTGCAATTAAAATACCAGTACCAGTAAGTGAGTAATAAACTAACACACAGGGAATACAAATATGTTTATAGCAGGAGTAACAGATAAACAAAAACTGGCTTTAAATTGGCATCAAACACTACAATAATTTCACATAAACCTGGCCATCTCATGCTGAACGGCTGGACCCTGGATTCTTTCACGTGGCTGTACTGACGTGACCTGAGGATTAGGAGCCTGTCCCTGACCTGCGCTTTCGAGACTCGGCTGGACATGCCTCTGCAGGACAGCGACTAGCGCTTGTACCGCAGAGGCAACAGACGGTTCAGCCTGGGGGTAATGCAGACAGTTAATGTTAATAATTATTGCAACAACGCATATATGGGGAAAAAACAATAACATAGCACCATCATCGCCTTCTTATGTGCTGTAATTCCATCACAGCTAGCTAAAATAAAACAAGTCATCTTTGCCTTATTACGAAAGTTGTTGACGTATTTAAATCTGTTAAAAAAGATCGAAACAATTTGTTATACCCATTATAATAGATCCATGATTATACCTCCCTAGATGTTCTTTCTTCCATTTCGCGGTTCAAATTTTTCTCCGTCTTCAGCATGGATCTTCTGTAGTAACGTGCGTGTGTTTTGGTTTTGTGGTGACGTAACATCCGGGCCCTCCAGCCAATGAGCGCGCTGAGCCCGCCCCTCCAAAAAGGGGTCAGATTAAATTTGAACCGTAAGCGTAACTTTTGAATCGTAAACGTAGCTTGTGAATTGTAAACGTAACTCGTGAATCGTAAACGTAACTTTTGAAGCGAAACACGAAAAATGTGAAATGTAAGTGTAAGTTTTACTTTACTACAGTTTTCTCGTTTACAATATATTTTTATGTTTACAATACTTACAACCTACGTTTACAATTCCTGCTTTACGGTTACGTTTAAGCAGACCCTATTTTGACGCCATAGCCATGCTGTTAGAAATGGAGGCTGGAGAAGTCTTCTTCGAGCTGCTGCAGCCGATGCTGCTGTCTTTGGTGCCCCTCTGTGGATCTGGGAAGATGCTGATGATCCCTTTTAGTAGACGCTCAGTTGAGGCTTGTGGCGGGGGAGGATTTTGGCGATCGGCCAATGAAACAGACAGAAGTTTTCTCAGAAAAAAACAGACAAACAAGAAACACAAACAAGTGTGTTAATACAATACAAAACCAATGATTAATTACAAATCAAAATAAACCTATGAAATAATTAATATTAACATTTTAAACATTTGATTCTGAAAACCGAATTCTGCATTCAACTGCTATCCTAAGCCCTATTTTTTCCAAAAGTATAATGCTCTCTGAGATCATTCTAACTTTTATATCACCAAAATGTGGGGAAAAAAACTTGTCCAGACGCCTTGGAGATAAAAATAAAATAATGCCTCTTTACAATCTAACTCAAAGTTCTGTGATCATATGACTCCATGTCAGTAACATTATCGTGTGTATAAATGTAATTTTCTACAAAAAAAATATATTTGGTAATAGTTCTGTCTTCGAGAGAGAGAGAGAGAGAAAGAGAGAGAGAGAGCAGACATAAAGAGGGAGGGGAGGGGCCTCCCGAACAAAGGAAAACATGGACGTCTGAAATACATCCTCCTGTTAGCTAAATTTTCCTCGTTTTTATCGGGACAAGGTCTTAATCAGTGGTAAAAGTTTTTCTCACGTCAAACGACACTTTACATTTATTTAAATACGTCAGTAATAGAAAACATTACAATTTGCTTACATGACTAATGCATCACTAGGTACAGCCGGATCTTTTTCGCAATACCTCTGTAACTATTGAAACATTACATCAGAATAAGAGAAAAACTTCCATAACTGATCATTCTGGTCATTTCTCCACATGGAAACTCGTATCTACAGCCAAGTGGCTCCTTTTCTTCCTCATTAATCAGATCATTATTATTCAATAGTCAGAATCCACATTTTAAATACTCTGCTTTTTTGTTTAAATTAATTGTACCCTTTTTCCCGCCCCCCGGGGGATATGGAAGGTTTTTTATTATCCTGTTCTGACCCTAAAGCTGTCCCTATTCCTATTTTCACTATACTTGTGCCTCTCTGCACTTTAAGAAGGTGTGCCTCTTCTGCACTTCTAAAAACTCTTGTGGACTCTCTCATCTATGTTCTGTTTGTTTTAGAGGGAGACCCATTTTGTCCCCCAAGGTCAAAACGTCTAAACCTGACTATTGTTCTATCGCGTCCGATAGAACGCCCGTCCCGGCGGTCTGTCCACCTCTGCAGTCCGTCGAGCCGAATTCTCTCTCTCTTCCATTTAAAACAATGTGCAGATTTTCAAAAGTATGATCTGCTTACCTCTTTTGAAGCAACTTTTTCGAAGAGAAGAGAGAATTTTCCAGGCCCACGGACCCAGTCTATATCTGAGCTCATCTCTGTCCTGCTCCTGCACCATCACGTCGGGGATTCACCAACTGTTGCCAAAAAAACACTTTGACGGACGTGTTCAAAGTTGATGCAGAAGTAAGACAAAAGATCTCCAAATTTAACATCTGTATTTAATTTATCCTTACAATCAGATACAGAAAATTCAAACAAAAGAGCTCCTATACTATGCTATTCTGTCTATGTCTCTCGCTGGCCCTCTGCTGACTGAGGCCAAGCCAAAGCATATCAGAAGATGTGCAGGAAGAAGGGGGCGTGTCGTATCAGGCAGTTCTCCGGTCACCGGTCCATCAGGTCTTCTCCTCCGTCTCGCCAGACCTAAACAGAAATCATTCACACACACTACCCCTCCCTAATTCTATAGAAATATTACTTCCTTGAGATAAGGCAGGAGACTCTCAAGGCTGTCCCTCCAGATTCTGGGTCCATCTCCTTCTCCAAACAACGGAAAGGATTAGCAGAATCTAGGAATGCAGATCTTGCCCCCCCCCCAGATTAACTATCATTAACTCATATTCTGCATTTTGGACTACTAAGAGGAAGGGGAGACCAGGTCTTTTTGCTTAGGAAAGAGACAGAGTTCAAATCAGGGTCAGTCAACTTCACATCTGCTTTTTAGTCTATATTTAATACAACAACGGAAATATATGATCTCAACGCTAGATGGGAGTAAAAACTACACAGTGTACCTTTAAATGGTTTAATATAATGCTGTTGCTCTATTGTACACAATTATGAATATTTCATGGTACAACAACCATATAACCATTTCAACTGTAACTGGATTGTTTACTAGGAATATTTTGCTAATTATAGAGATTTACAAGCCTTGGAGTTGGTCTTTAGACTCTTAACTGGTTTTCTTTCTTCTCCCACAGACAGCCTGCCTCTCTCTCTGACCACAGCTGAAATCACTACTGACACATCCTTCTGCTTTCTTGTTTTCTCAAGAACTTTGCTTTGTGTGTGAATTGTGTTGTAAAAAGAACTTGCCTCGAGTACACGGTTTTTTATTTATTTAATTGAGCATCTGTCAAAACAAATGCAAGACATTAAATTCACGGAGTCGGTCCATTGCAAAAGATATTGTCGACTATTGTAGAGAAGTACACTCAGGAAATTACGCTCAAAAGGAGTAGGAAGATAGTATGAAGAAGATGGACCACTAATGAATTCATTAGTACAGGAGTGTCACAAGCACAGCTTAAAGCCTAGTTAAAGTGAGCCTACGCCGAGAACGCGATTAGATCCGGGCTTTAGGTGCTGTGTGACCGCGGCAACTGGGCATCAAAGATGGGCCAGAGCAGGGTTGTGAACCAGATCAGGGGGGTTGATGTGGTGGGGAGTGATAGTGTGTGTCACATTGCAGCTTCCTGCTGCGCCCGCTGTGACGTGGATTTTCGCACACGTCTGTACCATAAACTGTAAAGGTCTCTACACTCGCTGTCACAGTGTGGTGCTATTCCAATAACACTTCAAACTGTCAGACTATATTTTCAGGCCAAAACACACCAACATACACCCATATACTGTACTGCCTGGCCTCTGTCGCTCTGCTCGTACGCCACACTTTCATTCTTGTTCATTCATTTCCCAGGCTCACGGCGTTTACTCCAAGGCATGCTCCCAAGCCCGCCGCGCGCCCGCACACGAACACAGTGGCTGGTTGGCCACAGTAGCCGAGTGTAAACAGCAAGAGAAACTGAAGATTACCCCAAACAACGAGGTAGTTGCTGAAGTTAGTATTAGCACCACCAGCTGGACTGAGTGTTGTACTACATCATCTTCGGGCTGGCACGGTTGAAAAACTAAACCCCTCTGACCGCGGGCCGTTTTCACACCCCTGTGGCGACGATCCGGGCAACTTTGCCTAGTTCGTTTGTGAAAGGGTGATTCTCTGTAACGGGTGCCTTTTGGGTCCTCTGAATTTTGAAAAATGCCAAAATATTATTGCATTTCTGAACATTGCATCTGACAAAGGAGTATTTGGACTAGGGATGTACCGAATCCAGGTTTTTGGGGTTCGGCCAAATACCGAATCCACTGGTTAAGATTCTGCCGAATCCGAACCCGAATACCGAATCCTCTTCCATCCTCAGTCCATTAATGTTTCATACGCAAATATTTTAACAGCGGCGGTGTTGTGTACTGTTTAGGGTCCTTACCACCACGAGACACATCAGCATTGCAAATTGGACATGTAGCTCGACCAGAATCTATTATTATAACATTTATAATAATCCCGTTTATCATTAAACACAAATACATTCAGTTCACAGCAGTGTAAAACTTCAGTGATAAAGTACATATATTACTGTGCATGTCATGTAGAAATAAGAGCTAAAGCACCACACATGCGTAAATAGCTTCCACTGGTTCAGGTCAAAACATTATATATATGGACATTTGAGAAATATGCCAAACTCGTAGAGACAAGTTGGAGAGAAGCTAATGCTAAGAGGCTAGTTGCCTAAACATGGACTCACCAACTCTGCTTCTACAGTCATACGCAGCTCAGATGACAAGTACCTGGCACTGGTAATCGGCTCCATAAAGTTTGTGAATAGGCAGTTAGTTTATGATCCCATCAGAACCGCATTACAGGTAAAATCAAGAATCATAACATCCCCTCGCACCGGCATATACAGTAACTAGAGCTAATTGGTCCACGGGGATCACATGACCAGGAAGAGACCTCAGCGCACCCAAAGAGGAACAGAGAGCAAGAGGATATAAAACTCCGCTAAAGTGCATGTTTATTTACACTTCCGAACAAATCTGATTTCCATGACGAATCCAACAGCCACAGCGCGCATAAGTGCAGGATTCGGGTTCGGTGGGGAAAAATTATAAGGTTCGGCCAGAAACCGAACCCCGTCAAAAAAGCCAATATTCGGCCGAATCCGAACCCGAATCCTGGATTCGGTACATCCCTAATTTGGACCTCTGGTAAAATACTGTTTCCCACCTTAGACATGGAATATCGAATATTACTAGGAATTAGCCATGCATTTTGTTACGGGGTTGAAGATTCTAGCTAAAAGTAGCCATGTCTCCCATCTTAGCAAACATGTTAGTACCACATGGTATTTGGAAATCATGGAATTTATATACTTTTCCACACAGTTGTTTGATTCTTCCTAAACAATATCTGTCGTTTATCTC